AATCACTCGTACGCACAACTTAAGAACAAATCTGTGCATACGAACGGTTCTTGCATGAGGCCCAATGTTCCCATGATGCTACACAGCTGATCTGCGCAGCACCTCAGGAGCTTGGAGCTGACAGCTTTGAGTTAAAACAATAAAAAAGGCCATAACTTTCTCAAGTTTTGTGCTTAAGCTTATAGTTGTAGCATTTGAGGGTCATCCTCAGCACACATCTCACAACAACAATATTTACAAAGTTTGACCCAAGTGGCTAAAGTTCAGCTCCTCTCAGCCTCAGAGGATTGTAGGTTAAGACTCAGGGAAATGAAATGATTTGATGTTTATGAGTTTGTCCCTTTTCTCCCAGAGGTTCTGGATGCTGCAGACTGCAGGATGGAGTCTGGTGGAAAACCCTCAACGGCACAGATTGTAGTTTTAGCCACCAGCTCTGCGCTGACGGCCATTTTCTATTCCATCTACAGGAGCAAAGCTAAAACCGTTAGCCGTCTGAAGGTCAGCTCTGTGTTTATAGGCACTTTGTCAAATGTGCTCATTTATTACCAGCATTATTCACYTTTTAATCACCGTATTTTCTCACCACAGGAAGCCAAGAAGGTCTCCATTGATCAGGATTTGAAAGGCCTCCTGTCTGAAACCCCTGGAAGATGTGTCCCATATGCCGTCATCGAAGGTTAGCTGTTGTAAAAAGTGTTTTCACAGAAGCACTTTGTTGCTGATGCATAAGTGCTGTGTGCCCACTCTGCAGGTGTGGTGAGGTCTGTGAAGGACACGCTGAGCAGCCAGTTTGTGGACAGCTGCAGAGGAGTGATCGAGAGGCTGACCCTGAAGGAGGAGAAGATGGTGTGGAATCGCACCACTCACCTGTGGTACGTCTGGAAAAACCTTTCTCTGCTGCTTTTCTGATTTCCACTGAAAGTCCCGCCCCCCTTGTATAATGGTAGGGGAAACACTGTTAAACTGAGGTCCTCCATCCATATTTTCAGTTCCAGGCTGAGTCATTTCTACCTTCTCCTCTCTGTCAACGCTCTCTGGTTTCATTTAAGAGTCGATCATCAGATATTGTCCAAGATTAAACTGGTGGATATAGCTCGCTAGCAGCCTCGCACCGATGACCTATCCACGTCATCATTTACCCAGAATGCTTTGCGTGTAAATAAAATGGTCCGTGTTAAAATATATTTTTAAAAATTTACAAAACTAAACATCCTACAGTATTTTTACAGTCTTTATTTTACAGTTAAATATAGTATATGTTTATCAAATAAAGTCTAATGTTACAACTAATGGTGGATCCCTTTAATAACAACAAATGCTGACCTGCCTCTGTAGGTGTCAACATTAACGGGATGTTTTCTAGAACCAGCTCAGAACAGACTGAAGGAGCAGTTCTGAACCAGCAGCTGCTCATGTGGCTTAAAGTACACCTGACATGTTCAGACTATCAGACAGGTGTTGCTGCTGTCAGTTTATACCTGCAGCAGGTCCTCAGGAAGACTGCTTCTCCCGAGTGAAAAAACTAAACGAGTTAGGAATAAGAATTTGCGGAATCGATTATAGAGTAACATTGTGCACACACAGTGTGGACCTGCTGTGTCCACCAGGCAGCACCAGATTGATGGATGGAAGCATTAAAAAGTCCAGTAGAAAAAAAAAACCTTCACATTTTCCTGAAAATGTCTCAGTGGTTTTATGGCTGCAGTGTGTGTAAACATTTTATTTATTTATTTGTTTGTTTGTTTGTTTAAACAAAGCTGTGCTTCAGTGTTTGAAGCTCTCAGTCCAACTGAGCAGCTGCAGCTTGTGACTCTTTGGAGGTTGAGGATATTCAGGACGGAGCTGCGACTGTGAGCTGCTCAGCTCGTGTGGAGGTTTATTTAAAATGTTCAAAAGACAAAATGTTTCTGTTGGATAAGAAAGAAACATTATCAGGCAGTTTCTGAGGGTCCACCGTGCAGCTCCAGTGACCTGCAAACACTGACGTGTTGTTGCCTTACAACCTGGAATTCAAATAGACTTTTAATTAATTTGTCAGTAATAATTCATCAAATATTTTTCAGAATGATGAAGTAGAATGAGGAAAAGAACTCATTTTAATTAATTCTACGAAGTATAAAACTATAAAATACTGCATGCACACATACTGTACAGCGGGTAAAATAAGTATCGAACACGTCACCATTTTTCTCAGTAAATATATTACTAGAGGTGCTAATG